AAATGGCCCAGCCAACAGTGACTAAGAGTAAACCAAAGAAACAATGCGGTTTGACCCGGATGCAATCAAAGCAGGTGACTGTGACAAAGGCCGAGTCAAAGGCCAGGAAGCAAAGGTGACCCAATGACGTGGAGGGCATGGGGGGTAGGCAGAGCCACAGGCACCCCTGACCTAGGAAATGCAGCCCCAAGCCTGGCAGTGGGGGCTCGGTGGGGGCTGCCCTCGGGGTCCACTTGCCTCACCCACAGGTTCAAGCCCCCCTTAAAGTGCCGCCTTCTGGCAGAGGGGCTAATCCCTTCCCAAGCAGGCGGCTGCAGATCACACCTGAGGACAGACCTACAGAGCCCCAGCGGCTTCCGCTGCCTGCAGCTCTGTGCCCACTCCTGGGGGCACTCAGGGCAGGGCATCCACCTGGCCTGCAGCACCATGGGCCAGCTGGATGTTGGTGGGGTGAAGACCAGTACTTGCCCATCCAAAGCTCAAGAGACAGGGGTCCTGTAGGCAAGCTGGGGCAGGCAAGGGTCCAGGGTCACCCCAGGCTAAGGCCTTGGCTGGAAACACATCAACGATAAACAAAGGGCCCCTGGGGGAAGACTGGGCAGGCCACAGAGAGCTGGTCACCCCTCCCAAGCCAAGTGCGCAAGAGCCATGAGTGGATCTCAGCCACTGTACCAGCCAGGGGTGCAGGATAAAGATCACAACCTCAACAGAAGGAGCTTTCTGCAACCCCTGCCAAGTTCTCACAGAACTCCAAGAGTTAGTGCCGTTAATATCCCGGTAATTCGGAGAGGGAGACAGGCTCAGAGAGCTTCAGGAACTGCTTGAGGTGTAGACAGGCCAGCATGATTCATTCTAGAGCCCTTGCCCTCAACTCACTGAACGTCCTCCCGGTCCCGAAGCAACCTCTCTGGGAACGCCCCCTTGGCCCCCAAGCAGGCTTCCAGGACAGCAGCCGAGATGCCAAGCCCGTCTGCAGGGGCTCCTCTGCACTCCCAGTGCCACATCCTCAGCAGGCGGCCAGGGCAAGCTAGGACAATGAGGCAGGGATAGAGGAGCCAAGCAGGCCTGAGTCCTACCCCAAGGAAGCCTGAGAGCAACCAAATAAACCCGACAATAAACACACAACCACAGATGTGAGTCCCAGAGGACTCTGCAGAATGGTGCCCTTCGCCTGAGCACGTGAGGGTGAGCAGGAGTAACCTGGTGAGCGAGGCAGTGGCTGGAGGTCACTTCCTGCAAAGGGAGGCCAGGCAGAGCCAAGGCCAGATGGGAGGAGGGGCAGGCCAGGTGCTTCGAAGACTGACCAGAGGACTCTGGACTAGGACCTTGCCTCTTCCCCACACCCCTGCCCTGCCATTCTCTTTGGAGCCCGTTCCATCAGGCGCTAGCTGTCTACAGCCTGGCTGCGCAGGCCAGCAGTGAGCCCAGGGCAGGCCTCCTGGCTTCCTGGCCAGCTCTCCCATCACAGTGCTGGCTGGCTGAGAGCCTGCCGCCCCTGGTTCCTGGGATCGGTGGTGGAGGTTCAACGAGGTGCCACAACTGGGACACTGACCTCCATCAACCACTGGTGGGCCTCATTGGGCCAGACCCACCCTGCCGCACAGCCCTGGGCAAGCTGCCTGGCCTCTCTCAGTCCCAGCTGCCTTATCTCCCCAGGGTCCCGAAGGGGTTACACAAACTCATACTTGAAAAGCCACAAGCAGAGGGTCAGGCTCTCAGCAGCCTTGGCCTCTGTGGACAGCTCGACAGGCCACAGCCCCCACAATTAGAGAGACCATGCAGGATGACGCTCACTTTCCGGCTTTGCATCCTGCCAGGTTTGGTTCCCACCCCAACTTCGTCTCTCAGTGGCCACGCAACCCTGGCAAGACACAGATCCTCTGTGGGGCTGCAAAGCCTGTGAAGCCCAGAGCCCAGCTCCTGGCACACACATCAGCACCTTCATTCCTTCAAAGGACCCATCATCAATCAATAAAGGAGAAGAAGGAAAAATAATAATCATTTTAAAAAGGAAAATAAAAAATTAAATTAACATGAATAAATTAAATAGAAAGGAGCAGAAAGGCTAGAATGGTAGCGTACATTTCAGACAGGAAACGAGTGGCAGGAACAGACATCAGGGAACTTCTCTACAAGCTGGAAGCTGGCCTCTTGCCTGACAGCGCCAGGGGGCAACCAGCATTTTGTCACTCCTAAACGTGAATCATGTCAATGCCCACCAGGGGTCTGAGGTGGATGGCACAGCACTTTTCCTTTCAAATGCTTCCTGCCTGACCAGGGGGAAGAGACTGGCCTGGGGTGCCAAGGCCATGGCCAAGAAGAAGGCCAATGTCAGAGAATAGCCAGGAAGTAAATCTCCAGGTGCTGTGTGAACACTTCCCTCAGCTCAGGGAAGAGGAAGGAGCTACAGAGCAGGGACTCAAGATGACCTTGTGTGCCCTCCCGTCCCTACGCCCGACAGCCCATGTCGGTCAGATGTCAGAGTAAAACCAGTTAATCCCCAGACAGGCCCCTGCTCTAACAGGAAGTCACTCGTGGCTCAACCTGGCCCATCCCAACCTCTTCTCTCCTTGCCACCACCTCCCACTCCATTCTGAAGCGTCTTGTTATTTCTATGGGCCAAAGTGCCTGCGTCAGCCCAGTCCAGGAAAAGACTGCCCAAATGAACGGGTGTGCTTAAAACCCGAACACATCCGTGAGCACCACATGGGCAGTCACCATTCTGGGTTCCAAAAGCATGGCTTAAGGAGGCAGCTCAGCCGGGAAGCCTCCAAGGAGCCTCACCACTCCACAGCACATGAAAGCAATTTTCTGAACCCTTCACAGCAGCAACAAAAGTGAACTTTTCCTCCCAGCGCAACCAGCTCATACACTGCCCAAGATCCCAGGAGGGGGCCAGGTTACTGATAGCCCAGCCATTGGGGGGCAGATGGTGAGAGCCCTGTCTACCGCTTGCAGAACCCCCAAGGGCCATGGCTATGGGCAGGAGTGTGGGGAATGACTTGAAGCTGGCAGTGGTATGGACATCACTGAGCAGGCCAGGGCTCCAGGTCTTTACAGCAGGTATCCACAGCATCGCCTGTCTGTCCAAGTCACACCTGGAACCTGCCCCATACCCCTGCCATACCTCTCTTGTTACAGATGGGCCCATTGAGGCACAGAGCCCAAGAAGGCTGCCCGAAGTCCTGTAATGCAAGAGGTCTGGGTGCCATCCTAAGCTCTATGCCCAGACCTCTGCTATGACTGTGACAGCCAAACCAAATCAAGTGCAGACCACCCAAATTGAAACCCATCCAGCTTATGATATGGCCTGAGTTGCATTCCCTGTTCACGATTGTCCTAAAGACCCAGGCCTTCAACCAGGCTCAGATGGTCCACTTCCCCTCCTGCTAGTGCCCACAGGGTCAAGGTGGGGGGAGTCCCCTGATGCCCTGGACCAGAAAAGATCCAGAGCTTTGCAGGACAGCAGAGAAGAAGGGCTTGACAAGCATTTTCTGTCTTCTTTCTTTCTTTCTTTCTTTTCTTTCTTTCTTTCTCTCTTTCTCTCTTTCTCTCTTTCTCTCTTTCTTTTCTTTCTTTCTTTCTTCTTTCTTTCTTTCTTTCTTTCTTTCTTTCTTTCTTTCTTTCTTTCTTTCTTTCTCTCTCTCTCTCTCTCTCTCTCTCTCTCTCTTTCTTTCTTTCTTTCTTTCTTTCTTTCAAGATGAGGCAATTATGCTCTGAACCAGAACAGGTGTGGGGAGGAAGGGGCTGCGGTGGAGAGGGGGGCGGAGTTCACAGCAGCACAGTCTGGAAGCCTTACTTTTTTCATCTGTAACTCTGCATTACCACTTAGGAGGCGTGGGGAGCTGAGGTCTCTAATTCCATAATAACAACGCTTTGCACTTACACAACACCTTCCTCCAGTCATCTCCACACTCGGTGGTGGTTAATTAAAAGCCGCCCCCCCACCCCGCCCTGCCAGGAGGGCCCTACTGTCCGCTTCACCCGGAGAATGGGGCAGGAGTGAGGAGCCAGGCGCTTTGGCCCACTGCCCCTTCCTGTCAAGAGCGAAAAGACCTTAAGTCAGCAGAGAAACAATGGCTGGAAACCACAGCTTCCCAGCCGGCAGAGGGCGCCCCTTCCGGGCAGGACGCAGGATGCGGGCCCCTGCCTCAGTCTGTCCATCTGTGAAGAGGGCTAGGGCCTGCACCTGAGGCCTGGTGACAGAGGGGGTGGGGGTGGGGGGAGTGGGGATGGTGGCCAGGATCACTTGTCACCCAGGCGGCTGGCCTCTGGGTGCAGCGGTGATGGCAGGGGGCTGCCCAAGCCTGCTGCTGGGCCAGGAGAAGCGGGTGACGGGCGACAGGAGAAGCCCATGGCCAGGAGGGGGCAAGCGGCCGGCCCGGCACCCGGCGGAAAACTTGCCGGTAGAGTGAAGGCATCAGCCTTTCTAGGGGTGGGCGCAGAGCCGCCCTGGGGACGGGCTGTCCCGCGGGGGATCGCAGCCGGCCCCAGGCCTGGCCATCCCGGTGACGACCCTGGAGCGCCACAGGGCAGCGACCCCGGGGCTTCCCGGCGCAGCACTGACCCCCGCCTCACCCCGCTGCCCGGCGCGGGGGGGGGGGTTCCCGGTGAGCGGCAGGGACCCCTCCCCGAGGCCCGGCCGTCCCGGTGGGGGCGGGGTGGTGCGGGGCGGCACGGGCTCGGCCCGGCCCGGCTGGCCCAGGGTTTGCTGGGGCCAAGCCGGCGGGGGCTCCCCGCGGGGACAGCCCGGAGCCCGGAGCCCGGAGCCCGGGGCGAGCCGGCTCCCGGGAGCCGATGGAGAGACAGGCTGCAGGGCAGCGAGGCCGGCTGGGGGAGACGCCCCCTGCACCCCAGCCCGCCCGGCAGGCCCAGGTGGGGCGCCCCGCCCGCCCCGAGCCGCCCCCCAACCCCCCCGCGCAGCGGGCCCGCGGCGGGCGGCGCGAGGTCTCAGGCCCGGCCGGGGGCAGCAGAGGTCCCGGCCGGCGGCCGGTACTCACCGGCACGGACATCTTGGCCGCCGCCCCCGGGGCCCGGGCGGGCAGCGGCGCCGGCAGGCTGGGGGCTCGGCTCGGCCGCGCCGCTCAGAGCCCCCCGCGCGGGGTCCCGGCGCTCTCGGGGATCCCCGCGGGCTCCTGCGCGCTCCCGGCGGCCGGACTGTCCGGCGGCTCCAGCCGCGCCGCGCATGCGCCGCCCCGCGCCGCCCCTCCCCCTCCCGTCTCTTCCCCGGGGGCCGCGTTAAAGGCGAGGACCCCGGACCGCGGCATTTTTCTGTCGGCCCAACGCGGCGAGGGCGCGCGGTCTCCACCCTTTGCCCGGCGTGCGAGGGCCGCCTCGAGTCGCACCGCCTCCCGTGCGCCCACCGGCGTCTGAAGACCACGGCCCCCACCCCCCACGCCGCCCAGCCGGGGATGCTGGGCGCCTGCCCTGCGGTCTGGCGGGGCTCCAGTCCCTGTGTCTGAAGGCGACTGCAGGTCAGCCTCGCCGGGCCGGAGAAACCCTGCCCGCTGCTCCCGCTGCAGGCCCAGAGCCCCCGCCCCCCCCCCCCCGCCGCTGCAGGCCCAGAGCCCCCCCCCCCGCTGCAGGCCCAGAGCCCCCCCCGCTGCAGGCCCAGAGGCCCCCCCCCCCGCTGCAGGCCCAGAGCCCCCCCCCCCGCTGCAGGCCCAGAGCCCCCCCCCCGCTGCAGGCCCAGAGGCCCCCCCCGCTGCAGGCCCAGAGCCCCCCCCCCCGCTGCAGGCCCAGAGCCCCCCCCGCTGCAGGCCCAGAGGCCCCCCCCCCGCTGCAGGCCCAGAGCCCCCCCCCCCCCGCTGCAGGCCCAGAGGCCCCCCCCCCGCTGCAGGCCCAGAGCCCCCCCCCCCCCCCGCTGCAGGCCCAGAGGCCCCCCCCGCTGCAGGCCCAGAGCCCCCCCCCCCCCCCCCCCCCGCTGCAGGCCCAGAGCCCCCCCCCACCCCCCCGCTGCTGCCCAGACCCACCCCCCTGCCCCGCACGCCCCCTCTGCCCCTCCCGCAGCGCCAGGCAGCTCCCGACCGCCTGCGCACAGCCGAGCGCATTGTCGGGTCCTCCAGCAGAGCTGGACCGGCGTTCAGGGAGGACCCGGCCACCCAGCGCCAAGGGTGACAGGCCTTCGCCGCCCCAGCCTTTCTTCCCAAGGTTAAACGTCCCCAATTTCCTCATCGGTCCTACCTCTGCCGTGGTGCCCGCAGGTGGTGGGCATATACGCAGGGTGCCCTGATTTCCCACCCCCTGCCAGCTCGGCCTTGCTGTACTCATGTTACATTTAATAAACTGAGGCTCTGAGGTCCCTCAGCTACCAGAAGGCAGAACCAGGAGTGTGACCACTCTGGTCTGCCACTCACCATATACAGCCTGTCCCTGCTCACTGGAGACCCTTCCTAGGCAAAGCTGCACCCGAAGAAAGGGCTGCTACTCCCCAGGAAGGATGAGTGGGGACCAGGTCAGTCCAGGGAGATGAGCACCATGCCCCTGCCCCTCCATGGAGGAAAGATAGAACTGGTTCCATGAGGTTGGCTGGCGGCAGATGTGGCTCCGGGCAGGACCCCAGGACAGAGAGTTCTTTAAGAAATCTGTGGGGGCAAGTGCCCTGGGCTTCAGGCTCTTTCCTCTGCAGATGTGGGGAGCCAAGAATCCTCAGGTCATTGGACAGAGAGAGGAAGCGGTACAGGTGAGATAAACTTCCTCAGAGACTCAGACCCATCCCCAGCTCTCCAGGCCTCAAAATCCCCCATTGGCAGGTCATCCATGTGGTGTCTGAAGTGTTTCAGCCTTCTTCCCCAAGAGGTGGGGCAGCCTTGGTCTTTCTCTAGGATGATCCCAGGGAGAGTCCTAACAGTGGTCCCCAGCAATGAGAGGGGTACTCAATGTGCAAGAAAGGAGGAAATTGAGGCCCGCTATGAGACCCAAGTCCCGATTCTAGGACAGATGAGCTGGGGTCCCTTCCTGCTTCACCTAAGCAGGATTGCCTGCCCCCTTGAATGGGGTGGTCAGTTATGTGCCTCAGTTTCCCCAGCCCCGTGCTCAGTAAGGCATTGTTGGAGGGAGCAGGCAGGGCCACAGCTGCTACCTCCTCAAAGGGCGCTCTGTGGTGTATCTGGCAGGCAGCCCTGCCCGTGCCTACCCGCCTGCGTACAGCTGGCACTGGGGCTCTTGAGCTGGGAGCAGCAGCTCAGCCTGGCGCCCGGGCTCCTGGCCATATGTGCCCCCTGTCTCAGAGCCCCCACCCTGGCTCCCTCCCTCACAGAGGCTTCCTCCTGAGTCCAGGCTCCTCCTTCCTTCGCTCTTACTTTAGCGGGATTGTTTTCACCCACTGTTTCTGTGTCCTCTCCCATAAGCCCCTTCTCTAGGGGCCTAGACCAGAATTGGGCTAGCAGTGGGAAGAGCCCCCTCTGTCCCTCTGGGTATAGGGAAATGGAAACCCAGGGGAGGGGTGCACATGGGGCCATGACCTCCAACCTTGCCTCCCTCTGGCCCCCAAGAATGGCTTACAGCTGCTTGTTTGGGGAGGGTGTTGCTAACTCATCCCTTAGCACAGGAAGGGGGATCTCTGGCAAGACCCTCACTTATTCCAAGGCAGAGATCCAGCACCTTGGGTTAGAGGTTGTACCCCCTACCTGCTGCATCCCCCATTCCCCAGCAGGTGAAAGATCCCAGGATGACTCAGTCCCACAGAGGACAGGCTCTGGGGGCCTCATGACTGGCAGAAGTGACAGCTGGGGTGCCTGAGCAGTTGCCAACACCCCAAGAGGATCCTTGAGAGCTGACCAGGGCCCCAGGGAGACAACAGTTATTGTTGTTCCTGATACTGAGAGGGAAGGGAATTTGGACCTGGCCACAGAGTAAATCTGGGCAGAGACAGGCTTCATCCCCAGCTCTCTGGACACCCAGGCTTCTGTCCCCTGGGCCTTGCCATGTCTAGAAGGCCAAGGCCTGGGAGGTGGCTCCTTCTCCCCACCCCCACTCAGGGTAACGAGGGACCTCTCTAATGGAAGGATTCCCGGCCCAGGACAGCGCAGTGAGCCTTTGGGGGCACCTGTGGGCACTGTGTGATAATCTTACATTGTCATTGTGCTTTTGTCATCATTGATGAACTGACATTGGTACATCCTCATCAGCTAAAGCATATACTCTGCTCAGACAGCCTTAGTTTTTTCCTACTGTCCATGTCCTGAATCTGTTCCAAGATCCCATGGAGAATCCCAAGTTACATTTAGCTGTCATGTCTCCTTAGGCTCTGCCGGGCTGTGACCGTTTCTCAGACTTTCCTTGCTTTTGATGACACTGACAGTTTTGATGAGTCTGGTCAGGGAGTTTATGGAATGTCCCTCAACTGAGATTTGCCTGGTGTTTTTCCCATGGTTAGACTGGGGTTATGGATTTTTAGGAAGACCTCAGAGGTAAAATGTCATTCTCACCACACCATATCAAGGATACATGCTGTCACCACTTACAACTGTTGGTGTTGGCCTTGATCATGTGGCTGATACAGTGTCTATCAGGTTTTCTCCCTGCTCTCTATTTTGTAGTCTTTGGAAGGAGAGAGGATTTATGCTCCTTCTCCAGAGAGCAGAGTATCTACATTAAAACATTTGGAATTCCTCCGTGTGGGAAATTTCTTCTTCATTTATTTATTTATTTATTCATTTATTTATATCAGTATGAACTTGTGGATATTCATTTTATACCTTGGATTATAATCCAACACTATTTTCTTGCATGTTCTAATCTTGCTTTGGCAATAGTGAGTTCAGTTGGCACATCACATTTTTCCAGAGAATCTAGAAATCCAGATTGTTTTTTTAATAAATCTCTGGATTTTGAAATATTGACTGAGTAAGCAAAACAAAATGCTTCCACAGGCCAACCCAGGCAGCTCTTGGCTGTGGAGTCAGATTACCTGGTTTGAATCCTGCTCTGCTGCTTGCACCTGAATCATTTTGTGCATATGCGTGAGTTAATCTGCCTGGGGTTCTGTTTCGTCGGGGGGGGGGGGGGGGGGGGGGGGGGGGGGCTGTAGGAGGATAATACTTCCTGGGTGGTTGAGAGGATTCAATTGAATGACTCAGGAAAAGGTTGGGACACTGGACCTAGCACAGAACTCTTGCCTTGTAATTAGCGGGGACCATCATTGCCACATGCAGGAGCCATGCATGGTTAAGCAGCTTCCTACAGAGAACAGGAACTGAGCTTGTTTGAAGGAGACCTAGGAGATTTTAGGGTTGGGGGTGACCAATGGGACCCTGTGAGCTCTGGAGTGATGACAACAGGAACTACCACCCCAAGCGTGGTTTTCAACTTAAGAGTTGAGTTCTACTACTCTGTCGTAACACCACTTCAACAGCTGAGGAAGTACCCAGATTAGATGTCCTATCTTATTCTCAAGTGTGAATGACTACCTCTCCCAGGGCCAGCAAGTCAGACTGGCACAGAAAGAGACGCTCAGCTTAATGAAGTAGATGGGGATCCCACTGGCCCTCCAGGCTAAATCTTGGGGTTCAGTCTTGGCATCACTTCAGACTTATCCTGTGACTTTAAGTAAATCCAGTTTTCAGTATCTCTGAGGGTAATTCCACAGTCTGGTAGAGGGTGAGCCCCAGGGGTTAGAGCAGGGCACTTCCTCATCTGTCCCCCATTCACAGAACCTTGGGTAGGCTCTGGTTTGGAGAGGGGGGCGATGTTCAGGTCATCAGGCTATTGGATACAGAGAGGGACCATTTGCCCTAGACAATGAGACCTCAGGACCTGGTGGCAGGAGGGAGATAGATGTATTCGTTTCCTATTGATGCTGTAACAAATTACTACAAACTTAGTGAGTTAAAACAATACGAACTTATTATCCTACAGTTTTGGAAGTTGAAAGTCCAAAATGGGCTGGCAGGGCTGTGTATCTTCTGGAGTCTCTAAGGGAGGGTAGCTCCCCTTGCCTCTTCTAGCTCCTAGAGACTGCCTGCATTCCTTAGCCTGGGACCCCACATCCCTCCGACCTCTGTTTACTTCATCACATCTTCTTTGACTCTGGCCCTCCTCACTCCCTCTTATAAGAACCTTATGACTACTGTGGGTCCACCCAGGTAATCCAGGACAACCTCTCCATCTCAAGACCCTTAATTTAATCACAGCTCCAAGGCACCTTTTGCCTGGCAAGGTAGCCTAGTCTTAGATTACAGGGGT